AGCTGAGATAATTAGTGCTGATGGCTGCAGCCAGGCTGCCTGGCACTAGGCACCGAGTGACTCAACTTCCTGCAACGCGTTGTGTAACACAGGCAGCGATTACAGCTCAGTGTGGAACCTGGCTCCGGCAGGGGGAGCGTGGGGGGGGGGGGGTTGGGGGGGGGGAGCTAATCCCTGTAGGCACAGATCGGGTTTAGCTGTGTGCCCTGCCATGGGGAAACCCGAGGCCGGGTGCACTGCTGGTGCTGGCTGTGGCTTGGCCAAACCCCCCTTGTCTTGATCCTGTGAGCAGTAGCAGGATTTCAGCAAGCAAATGTGTGTTGCTGAGATCATCCCAGTGCCCTCAAATTCACCCACCACCCCAAATTTGCCCTGACACTCCCAGATGCCCCCAAACTGCACCACCCCACAGTCATCCTTTAGGCCCCTGAAACCACCCCAGCCCCCCCACCCCCCCCCCCAATCCCCCCCCCCCAATTCGCTGAAACTGCCCCAGTTCCCTCTCCAGGGCCTTCAGTTTAACCATTTTCTACCTCGCTTTCTGGTTCCCTCTGCTCTCAGAGGGGCCGTGATGGTGACACTCACGCTGTGGGATCCGTGGTGTTAGCACAAGGGGAAGTGCCAGGCACTGCTGAGTCACTGTGCACAGAGGAGAGCGAGGCTGCTCTAGCCCCGGTGCTGGTGGTGGGTGGGCTTTGTCCTCGTACAGCAAGAGGTGTATGGTCACATGGATGTGGCTATCGCTCTAAGTCCTGGCACAGATGAGCCCCACGTAGCTCTTACCTCCATGTAGCTAGGTACGGTCAATGCTACACCGCTCATCCTTGCTAGCTTCATGGAAGTAAATCTCCCTTATCTCGTGGCAGCGTGGGACATCTAGTCCAACACGTGTGTGTCCCGGGCCAGAGAATCTCACCCACTTTGGCCCCTGGTTAGCCAGTACCTTGTGTGTGGCTCCAGCATCTTCCAGCAAGGTAGCCCGGCTGGACTGGGAGGCAGCAGAGATGGAGAAGCCATCGCTTCACTTGGGTGCTGGTTCCGATGGCTAATCACTGCCACAGGTGCCCTATTGCTGGACTGAATTTCTCTAGCTTCGGCTTCCCTTTCCCGGGGCTGGGAGCGCTGGAATCAGTCTTCCCTTTGAAATGCTAAACAGATGGAGCCCTTTAGGGCTCTTGCATTTTTCTCCAGCCTTTGAATAATTTTTCTGGCTCCTTTCTCCGCCCTCTGCAATTTTTCCACAGCCTTTTTAAAATGTGGCCACCAGAACTGGACGCAATATCCCAAGGCCATGTCCGGTGGTAAAATCCCCTCCCTGCTTCTGCTCACGGCTGCCCTGTTGATACATCCCAGGATCCCCAACGTGGCCCTGGGAGCTCGGGTTGTTCACTAAGCCCTCTAGGTCCTTCTCAGATTCACGGCTTTCCAGAGACTGCTCCCGTGCAGTGGGCTCCTTGTTCCTAGGTGTGTAATGCACACCTCTCTTTGCAGAGATTGGGGCCGGGTCGGACATCACACGCACTCCCCCCACCCCACCCCGAGTGGGAGCAGGGCCCCTGTTACGCTATGTGCTGCATGGACACAAGTCACTACGCTGTAGTGGGGAAACTGAGGCATGGAGCGATTCGGTGACTAGTCCAAGGTCGTACAGGGCAATTGAACCCAGGAGCCTGGCTCCCATTCCCCCAGCTTCATGTGTAGTGGGTTAACCCCAAGTTAGTGGAGCCGATGCCCTCTGTAGCCCCTCTCACATCAGGGAATCACGAGCAGGAGCTAGGCGCCCCCATGCTATGAGCCGGGCCAGGGCCAGCTGTGGTGGGGGGCTGCCCCTGCCATCCCTTGGGGTCTCTGGGGGTCAGGCAGGAATGGCCCAAGCTGAATCCCTGGCACGTGCCCCTCCCCAGCAGAGGGAGGGAGGAGAAAGCCGGCTTATCAGTGTTTGTGATAGATAAGGAGTTTCCTTGGCTTCCTGTTAATTTCCCCAGGGCTTTGTGTGGGGAAATGGGCCAGGTTCTGGGGGAGCTGAAATCTGAGACACGGAATGAGCAGAAGGTGGTGTCTGGCTCCTGGGCAGGGCAGGTGGCAAACATGAATGTCCTTGCTGTCATGTGTGGGGGAGGGGAGCTGTGGACGTGCTGGTTCGGCTGGTCCGGACACCTGGGTCTCACTGGCTCATTTTCACCCCTAGCTGACCAGGGCCCTGCTCAGCCATTTCCTGGCCTGGGACTGACATCCCTGCTCTGTGTGTGTTTGTTTGTGTGTATGTGTGTGTTTGTGTGTATGTACACTGACTTGCTCCAAGCTCAGACACCTTCCCTAGGGCACTGCCCCTGGTGAGTCATGCAGGGGAGGAAGGCTGTGACTCACTGCTTTGTTTTGTCCCCATCTCCCTCTCTCTGAACCAGTTTGCATTGAATTGGGCTGGTGGGTGGAGCCAACATGGGATAAGAGCAACACTAGGTCAGGCTGGGAGCCACCACCCCCCGCCCCGCCTCCCGGGACAAACTTGCATAACCCTCCGCCAGGCTGGGCCTAGCTGAATAGGAGGCAGCTAAGCCGCTGCAGGTGCTGAATGGGGCAAGTGGGTGGGATGGGGGGCGGTGACCCTTTGCAGCCGGCAGAGAAGCCCTCAGAGCTAGACCCTTGGGGAATTAATCGACCCACCTAGTGTGATCCTCCCTGCTCCGCCCCCCGTGTCTAACTCGCCCCATAGGTCCCACTGTGTCTGCACCCACCTCCCTGCCCCCTGTGTCTGACCCTCCCCAGAGCAGCATCCCAAGGGGACAGCCTGGCTCTACAGAGCCCCCAAACCCCCAGGGTGGGACAGACAGACGGGGATCCATCCCCACACATAACATGTGGTCCCATCTGGGGGATGTCCCTGCCGGCGCAGACAGGGGGCTGATGTTTGCTTGCACTGGCTGCGGCAGACAATGAGCCCATGTTGTCAGCCTGCGTGCACAGACTTCACGGTCAGCCGGAGGTCGAATGGGACGGTCTGTGTGGCTCAGTCCGGGGAGTTGCCCTGTCACCAAGAACCGCCTTTCGTTTGGGTGCTGAGCCTCCGTGACTTAGCAAATTCCTGTTACTTGCAACCCAATCAGCCTGATCTGCCCCTCCCCTTCCCTCTCCCTCCCCACCCCCCCCCCGAGCAAACAGCACCCGTGCCCAGGATGTGGGGCCTGGCGCAGAGCCCGTGAGTACACCTGCCTGCCTGCTTGTCAGCTCCTCCCTCCCGCAGAGCCACACCCCACCCTGGGTAAAGGCCCAAAGCTGCAAAGAAAGGACGTGTGCATGTATGGGTAGACCTGGGGCGGCTGTGTCATGCAGAGAGGGGTGGGGAATTGGATATGAGGCCTTTCCCCTGTAGGGGGCGCTGGCTCTGATCTGGCTCCAGGGCAGGGACTGGCTGGCTCAGGGGGGGCAGGGAATGGGGCACGGGGCCTTTCCCCTCTAGGGGGCACCAGCTCCCATCCAGCCCCAGGGCAGGGAGGTGGGAATGGGGCACAGGGCCTTTCCCTGCCTGTTTGCTGCTATGACATCCCCTTTGTCTGTTCCAGGGCGACTTGGCCAAGAAGAAGATCTACCCGACCATCTGGTAAGTCCCTCTTCCCGCCCACCCCCACCCAGCCGGGGCTGTGTGGTGGTGACCCGGCGCCATAGTGGTCTGGCGTCGGGTGACCCAACTGAACTCTCTTCCAGGTGGCTCTTCCGGGATGGCCTCCTGCCCGATGACACCTACGTGGTGGGCTACGCCCGCTCCCAGCTCACTGTGGCCGACATCCGCAAGCAGAGCCAGCCCTACTTCAAGGTGTGGCCCCCTCAGCTTACCCACCTGCACCTCTCCAGAGCAGGGGAGAGCCTGGGGTCCCCAGTCCTGGGGTGTGTGTGTGTCTGGGGTACAGCTCCCCTGAATAGTGGGGGGCAGGGCCTTTATCCCTGGGATTGGGTGGGGTGTGTGGCTGGGTGTCCACCAGTGCCTTAGCTGACTGGGGGGGCCATGTCCCTCAGCTGATGGCAGCCGCGTCCCCTCCCTCCAGGTGGAGCCGGATGAGCAGAAGAAGCTGGAGGAGTTCTTTGCCCGGAACAGCTACGTGTCAGGGACCTATGACGACAGCACCTCCTTCCGGCGGCTGAACGCCCACCTGGACGCACTGCACAACGGGGACAAGGCCAACCGGCTCTTCTACCTGGCACTGCCCCCTAGTGTCTACGAGCACGTCACCCGCAACATCAAGGAATGCTGCATGGGCCACGGGTGAGAGATGGGGGTGGGGCAGGGTCTATGAGTGAGCGCCCGGGGGATGGGGTCAGAGCACAGGCCTCGGGTGTGTGAGACCCCCATGGGGTGGGGGAGAGTTGTGGGGGCTCCGAGGTTCCTCTCTAGCTGCAGCCATGTTTGACACAATCTGCTCTCCCCTCCCCTCAGGGGCTGGAACCGCATCATCGTGGAGAAGCCATTCGGGAAGGACCTGGAGAGCTCCAACAAACTGTCCAATCACATCGCGTCGCTCTTCCGGGAGGACCAGATCTACCGCATTGACCACTACCTGGGCAAGGAGATGGTGCAGAACCTCATGGTGCTGAGGTGGGGCTGGCTGGGAGATGGGGCAGTGCTGGCGGGGGAGCATGGCTGGGCTCTTTCCCAAGGGAAAAGCTGGGCGGGTGGCGGCGGAGCATTAAGGGCCCCTCGCCGTCTGTCAGGGTGAGACACCCCCCAAAGCCTGCCAGCATAGTAGCTCCCCCCCTCAGACAGGCTCTGCGTCTCCCTGGCAGGTTCGGGAACCGGATCTTCGGCCCTGTGTGGAACCGGGACAACGTGGCCTGCGTCATCCTGACCTTCAAGGAGCCGTTTGGCACAGAGGGGCGGGGCGGCTACTTCAATGAGTTCGGGATCATCCGGTGAGCGGGGCAGGGGGCCCCTGTCCTTGATGTGGGGGCGGCAGGCAGAGCGGTGCTGGCTTGGCTGCTGGAGGGGTGGACAGAGATGGTACCGGCTGGGGAGAGCGAGGGGATACTCGGGCTGGCTGGCACTGACCCCCTCCTCCTGCTGGGAGGGAGGGATCTAGGGCAGAGGCTCTCAACCTTTCCAGATGACTGTATCCCTTTCAGGAGTATGATTTATCTCACGTACCCCAAGTTTTACCTCATTTAAAAACCTCTTGTTTTCAAAGTCCGACATAAAACTACAAACGTGGCACAGCACAGGATTACTGGGAAATTGCTGATGTTCTCATTGTTACCAAAGAGTGAGAACTGTGTTTTTCTCCAACAATTGGAATATAAATATTGTACTTTAGTTTGTACTGAAGTTGCTAGTGAGTGTTGTGAAACTAGGCAAATATCTAGATGAATTGATGTACTCCCTGGAAGACCTCTGCGTACCCCCAGGGGCACACGTACCCCTGGTTGAGAACCACTGATCCCGGGCAGTGGGGGTGGATGGAGGAGAGGTGGGATCATCCTGGGGGGCTGGATGGGAGCCGTGCTGGGGTGGGGATTCCCACGCTGACCCCTCCCCCTGCTGGGAGGGAAGGATCCAGGGCATTGGAGGTGGATGGAGGAGACGGGATTGTGCTGGGGGGCCAGACAGGGGTCATGCTGAGGCAGTGATTCCTGCGCTGACTCCTCTCCCCTCCCGGCAGCGATGTGATGCAGAACCACCTGCTGCAGATGCTCTGCCTGGTGGCCATGGAAAAACCGGCTTCCACAGACTCAGACGACGTGCGGGATGAGAAGGTGGGTCGCTGCACAGGGACCAAGCACCCCAGGCC